AAATCCCCCATGAAGAGTCCTTTGAACTAAGGTCCCAGAAGAATACTGAGTCTGGCTGCTTGGAAGGCAAGGAAGTGGTGTGGGGATGGGGAGCAGCAGTTGGTGGGATTAGACCTGGGGACAAGTGTCCTGTTTTGTTTTCTTTTTACCAAGTTACTGGTAGAGCCACCAGAAAATGTCTTCTGAAAAAAGGGAATTCAGAGGCTGATGGGTGAACAGCCGTCTAATATTTCCAGGGGAAACAAAATGTGGATTGAGTTTGAATGGTGTCATAATTGTCCCCTGTATTGACTTATAATTTATTTAGTGAGTCCTCTATGGTTGGGCATTGTGTCCAGTATTTTTTTTCCTGAAATGAACACTGTGGTGAACATTCTAAAATGTAAATCCAGCTCTGATTATTTCCTTGGGATAAATTCCTGGAAGAGGAAATATTGTATCAAAGCATGTGAATTTGGGTACATATCACTTGCATGTCTATATGACCTTAGGCCTCAACGAATACTGGCTATTAGATGTGCACTACCTTTTCTCAGGAGAGGAGGGTATATTTCACTCAAGTAACCCAAGCATTTGTGCCAGTGAGACCAGAGAAGCACGCTTTGTCCACATGAGCAAGTTGGTGTTGCGTGGAAAGCCAGGGAATGCTCTACAGCCATCTTAAAATGAAGAAAACAAACTCATTGCCTTCGAGTCAGTTCTGACTCATAGTGACTCAACAGGACACAGAAGAACTGCCCCTTAGGGTTTCTGAGGCTGTGATCTTTACAAAAGCAGACAACCACATCTTTCTCCCCTTGAGCATGGAGCGAGAGGCTGGTGGGTTCAAATCACCAACCTTTCAGTTAGCAACCATGTGCTTAACCACTGTGCCACCAAAGCTCCTTTCAGCCATCTTGCTTAGGTCTGAATCAGGCCGTAGGAGAATGTGAATGGTTCTCTGCAGAACCATCACCACTGCTGGGGACTAGAATATCAATGAGGTCATTAAAAACTGGTCTGTAATATCATCTTCTCATCTCCAGTCTTCATGTGTAGGAAAGACATTGATGAACCCATAAAGCGATTGTGTATGGCCTGGGGGTGGGGGTTGGGTAACAGACTGGAGTATGGTAAGGTAGAAGAAATTTTGTGAGAAATTTGGGAAAATTTGAAACTTCCCCACCTCAGAGCACCAGAACATGGTGGAAGGGGTGGTAAGCAGCATGCTGACAATAGAGTGGACTGACCGCTGGGCTCTCCCTTCCCCTAGTGGCCATGGTGGGCCAAAGATGTTTTCTTGGGATGGTTTTAAAAAACCATTTGAGCCAAAATTTAAAGCTGGGAGATGCACATAAAGATCCAGGTATTTGGCACCTTTTCAGAAAACTAAGTCTAGGAACAGAGACTCTGATCCCGCGTGGCCGCTGGGGCCAAGGAGTGCGCCTCTCCCGTGGTTTGCTAGAGTCCTCACCACTCGTTCCAGTTCACCTAACCCACTCATGTTACCTGCCTGGTCCCTACAGGCAGTTGAGTCTGGGATCCCTTGGATGATGGTGTGAGTACTGGAAATCCACTGTGTTCAAATCCTGGTTCTTCCTTAACTACTTAGGTGAGCAAGGTACGCAACTTCCTCATGCCTTGGTTTCCTTGATTGTAAAGGGGGGATAACAATAGTGCCGACTAGAGAGGGATGTGGGGAGCCATAATTGAGGTAAAGCGTGGGGAACTGGTGAGCATGCAATAAGCAGTAAATGAGATCAGGATAATGTAGCAAATCACCCACAGACCCTTTGGAGAAACATCCATTAAAAGGACAAAACCAACGTGTTAAAGAACAACGGTTTCTAAAAGGATCCTAAACCCAGGAACAGTTTATGCTCTGTGATAAGAGTCTCCCTTCCGTGGTTCAAGCTGCCACCACCTTTGATGCTTTTTGTTGATAGTCGCCATTGAGTTGGCTTCCATCACAACGACCTTATGTACAACAGAATGAAATGTTGCCTGGTCCTCTGCCAGCTCCATGATCATAGGTTTGCTTGAATCCATTGATGTGGCTACTGTGTCTGTGCCTTTCATTGAGGGTTTCCCTCTTTTTTTTTTTTTTTTTAACTATTTTATTTTGAGTGAAAGTTTACAGAGCAAATTGGTTTTCCATTCAACAGTTCACACACATTTTGTTTTGTGCTGTTCACTGAGATCCTGACAGTGTGACAGCACTCTCCCCACTTTCTCCCTGTGTTTACCGTTTTCATCTGTCCTTCTTTCCTGTCCTTTCCTGCTTCCTGACGCTTATGCCTGAGCAAATGCTGCCCTTTTGATCTCTTATGGTTGATTGTTCCAAGTAGTGTTTCCTGTTATTATTGTTCACCTTATAGGCTTATCATTTACTGAAAGTTGAGTCATGAGGGTGAATTCAATTCTAGGCCTGAAGGGTGTCTAAGGACCATAGTCTCAAGGGTTCCACCAATCTCTAGCAGACCAGTAAGTTGGGTCATTTTTATTATTTTGAATTTTGGTCCATATTTTTCTCACACTCTATTCAAGACCTCTTTTATTTATTTTATTATTTTTTAAAATTTGTATTGTGATTTGGGGAAAGTTTATAGAGCAAATTCACTTTCCATATAGTAGCTTACATACACTTTGTCTCATGATATTGACTACAGTTTTCCATAGTGCAACAGCTCCCCTCCCACTTCCTCCCCATAGTTACCTCTTCCCTGTGTCCTTCCCTCCCATGCACTCCTGCCCCCTGAGCTGTCTCCCTGTACATACACAGCCCTTCTATTCTCCTATGATCGATCTCTCCAAGGAGTGTATCTACCTAACGTAAGTGTTCAGCTCATATGCCTGTCTTTTGTTTGACCGGAAGCCATGGGAATGGGTTCAATTCCAGACCTAAGGGTCAGCTAGGAGCCATAGTCTCAGTGGTTCCATCAGACTCTATCAGACCAGTAAACCTGGTCCCTTTCTTTTTTCTTTTTCAATGATTTTGAGTTTTGTTCCACATTGTTCTTCCACTCTGTCCAGGATCTCCTCCATAGATCTCCTTCCGAATGGTTGACAATGGTAGCCAGGCACCGTCTAGTTCTTCTGGTCTCAATTGTATAGGCTGAGGATCACATGATGTACCAGTCCCTTGGACTAATTGTTTCCATGAATCTTTGGTTTTCTTCATTCTTCTTTGCTCTGGACAAGGAGAGACGACCCATTGTTGCATCTAGATGGTTACTTGCATGCAGCTTTGAAGATCCATTCGCTACTCACCAAAGTAGGATGTGGAACAATGTTTTTGTGTAGTATGTTATGCCAATTGAGCTTGATGTCCCCTGTGCCTATGGTCCTGAGCCCATAGGTCCAACTATTTGCTCCCTCTGCGTAGCTGTCTATGGCCAAGAAGTAACTACAATCTTATCCCTTGTCAGATCTACTGTATACCTAGGAATTCTTACAGAGCATACAAATATATTTGTAGAAACATTGTCTGCCAACCCTATACATGGTCGTGGGCACACTCCCCCTTGCATAGACATACCTAATAGTTCAGCCTGTCACCCATTTATCCACCTGTATATCAATGTTTCTCTTCACTGACGACACAGTACTATATGTGCAAAAGGGTTCATCTTTGTTGTCTGTACCTCCCGTGAACCTTTCTGTCACTCACATTTGGTACATTGCCCTTCTCTTCAACCAAGTCAATACTTGTCTCTACCTATCTAACAGTGATCCCTCCCCTGCCTTCCCACCCCTGGTAACCAACAAAGAATATTTCCTTCTATATATAAACTTTTCCTTGACTTTTTACAATAAGGATTAATACAATATTTGTCCTTCTGTGATTGACTTATTTCACTCAGCATAATGTCCTCCAAGTTCATCCACATTATGCGGTGTTTTGCCAATTCTACGTTATTATTTAGTGCTGCATAGTATTCCATTGTCTGTATGTACCATAGTTTGGTTATCCATTCTTCTGTTGATGGGCACCTAGGTTGTTTCTTTCTTTTTACTATGCAAATAGTGCTGCGATGAACATGGATGTGCATATATCTGTTCTCATCCTGGCTCTCACTTCCT